TGATCGCTGAAGTCAACAACTGATCGCTGGAGTCACCAACTCATTGCTGGAGTTGACGATTGATCGCTGAAGTCAACAACGGATCGCTGGAGTCAGCAACTGATCGCTGGAGTCACCAACTCATTTCTGGAGTTAACGATTGATCGCTGAGGTCAACACCTGATCGCTGGAGTGAACAACTGATCGCTGGAGTCAACGGATCGCTGGAGTCAACAACTGATCGCTGGAGTCAACAACTAATCGCTGAAGTTGGCGATTGATCGCTGAGGCCAACCGCTCGCTACAGCCACCAACCGCTCGCTGAAGTCACCAACTCATCTCTGGAGTCAACAACTGATCGCTGGAGTCAACAACGGATCGCTAGAGTCAACAACCGCTCGCTGAAGTCAACAACTGATCGCTGAAGCTAACGATTGATTGCTGAGGTCAACCGCTCGCTACAGTCACTAACCGCTCGATGGATCCCTACGATTATTTCACGCGTATCCCGGTGTTCGGACTGATTGTATGCAACGAATGCAAGTATTGCGTCTGGCCAAAGGACGTCGCAGGGCATTTAAGCGGGCCACACCATAAGCTGAAGCGTGCGCAAAGCCAGGAGATTGCTAGCGCCGTCCATCGTTGGCGTGGATTAACCCGGAGTTATGAGGAATTACAGGTCCCCTATACCGTCGATAAGCCTATCAACGCGTTACCGTTATATGAAGACGGTTTCATGTGTATAAAGGGGGATTGCCGAAAGATATTCCGTGGACGACCGGTTATAATCGAGCACTGGCGAACCGAGCATAAGTGGACGGTTACCGAACGACAAAGGAAAGGAAGAGCGGGTCGACCAGGCAAGACCGAGAAGGATATCGTGCAGAGACGGTTCGAGGCGGCTACGGAGAAGGTATTATATCAACGGTTTTTCCCCAGTCGCTATAGCTCGCAATATTTCCGGGTTACCCCACGGTTACCCCATCCGAACCCCTAAGGGCGGACTAATTCGTGGAAGCGGATTCAATAGAAGGCCGAGCAAAAGTTCCAGGAGATTGAGAAGCGGATCCGAACCCGGATCGAAGCCGGAGAGAAGGACGAGGCGAACCCGTGGTTAGAGCGAACGGGATGGGCGAAGTATTTAATACCAGGCCAGTACGAGCGCGCCGAATTAATGGCGTCGGTGGCCAAGCCCGGCAGTAACGGGGAGGATCGGGATCCGTTGGAGCAGGCGGTATGGGACGCTATGATGATGGTAGGTCAGATCAGCCAAAAGACGGTGTCTAAGTCGGGGGTATTCGTTCGGCTAGAGGCGATTCGGACCGAAGAGCATCAGACGCGATATAACCCGTTGGAAACGTATTGGGACCACGAATCGATCGAGAGACGAGTACAGCCGTGGCGACAGATGCTTATGTTTTTCGTGCGGACGCAGCGAGTACACGAATGGGAGAGCCCGCCGTACCGATTTACCCAGGCCCAAATGCAGGCGTTTACCCGGTTGATCGAGGAGGCGGAGCAAGTCCAAGAGGAAGAGGGAGAGGGAGAGGAGGGAGGGGGGGAGGGAGAGGGAGAGGAAGGACGCGAGGGAAACGAACTGAATCAAGAGGACCCCCCAACTATGACGGCCATCCAGAGGGCATGTTTGGATTTGTGTATCCAACTGCTAAACCAAGAGATCATGCAGAGCGAGTACGAGAGCCCATTAGTGTGCGCATTAGCCGTATTAGGCGTCGACCAAACCGCGTGGAGGGATTCCGAAACTTATCCACCCATCTTATCGGCGGTGATCAAGTGCGCCCGGTTCATGGTGGTGCAGAAGGCGGTCCACATGGCCGATCCGTTACAGGAAGATGGGTATTGGACCAGCTCTATTATCGATTTCGAGGACAGCGGGTACGAGGGCGGGGGAACCCGTTAACCGAGCGGATCTCGTCTGACCCCCCGGAAAAGCTGTTTATATTGGGTGGACCGGATGATGGACGGGTTTATGGTGCGGGGGAGTAAGAGCCCCATGCAGTGGATGCTGAACCTGCGCACGTACGGACTGAAGATCCATTATAATACGACCGCCCGCGGCCATGTCGAGTGGAACGATAGCGAGACGTTACTGTATAAAGGCGTCCAGTTCAGTATGGCCCAGTTTCGGGGGCTGGTCCACGGGGTACTATTCGAGGCGCGTCGGATTATAGGCGAATTGTTATTCTGCGCCGACGATCGAGCCGGGGATATGCCCGTCGTTCCGTGGGAGTCGTTGCGCGACGACGCGACTAATGCACGCCCCGGATGGAACTTTTTACAGGACCAACGGACTCGATTCCCCGTAAATGGAGAGACATGGCTATTCGACCGGATTGGCGAGCACGAGGCAATGCGGCGGGAGTTTGAGCGACCCGATAGCGAGAGCGGCGTCCATCGGAAGGGAGTGAACGATTATATGACCAAGCTATCCCGGTTTCGCGAGAAGTTACTAGTATTGATGCACATTACTGGCGGACAGCCCGCACGGGGGACCGAGCTATTGAGCATTCGCCATCGGAATACCGCCAAAGGGGCCCATCGGAACGTGTTTATCGAGGACGGCATGGTCGTGTTCGTGACCCAATACCACAAGGGATACGCCATTAGCGGCAACGTTAAGATTATCCATCGGTACGTGCCGCGGGAGGTCGGCGAGTTAGTAATCCGATATTTGTGGCTGGTGCTGCCGTTCCAGCAGCGTATGCAGTCGTTGGTTAATGGCGAGATCCCGTCTCCGTCCCATCTGTGGCCTAAGCAGGAGTACCGTCGGCAGTGGACATCGGAACGGATGGCCACGGTGTTGCGGCAGGAGACGGAGATCGGGTTAGGGCATCGGTTGGGCATTATGGATTACCGGAATGTCGCTATCGGGATTAGTCGACGGTTCATACGAGCCCCGACGGCGTTTATACACGACGAGGATACCCCCGATCCCGAGCAGGCCGACGAGATTGCGGACTTGCAGGCGGGCCATTCGTCGCACGTGGCCGGGATGGTGTATTCCCGCGGCATCATGGAGATGGCCGGCGCGGTGGCCGACACACGGATGCGGTTCCGGGGGTCCAGCGTCGATTGGCATCGGTTTTTAGGGTTCGAGAGCGCCCAAGAGCGACCTATTAGTCGGAAACGACTATGTCCATTTGAGGACGACGCCAACGAGGCGCGGTTTGAGCGATGGGTGCGTATGCGGAGGATGAACGCGGCCGAGCAGTTCCAGCGTATGATGGGGCGGGAGGCTGCGCTCCGGGGGGTCCAACAGGAAGCCATCGAGGCGATTCAAGCCGGGGTTAGTCCCGTTATCTCGGTTATGCCCACCGGTTCCGGCAAGTCGGTGCTGTTTATGTTGCCGGCGTGGGTCGAGCCGGGAGGGACAACCATTGTCGTGGTACCGTTGGTTGCATTACGCAAGGACATGAAGCGACGATGCCGGGAGCTGGGGATCGGGTGCGCCGAATGGAACGGTCGACGGCCGCCCGACGCCGACAGTATCGTGTTAGTAACGCCGGAGTCGGCCGTATCGGGCGAATTCCAGACGTTTATTAACCGGTTGAAGGCGACGAAGCGGTTAGACCGGATCGTCATCGACGAGTGTCACGTGATATTGAACGACCAAGCCGGTTTCCGACCCATGTTACAGCGCTTGGGGTCGCTGGTGGCCGCGGAGACGCAGATGGTGTTGTTGACGGCCACGTTGCCGCCTAGCCAGGAGAGGATATTACGGGAACGTATGCATTGGCAGGATGAGGGCGTCGTAATTCGACAGCCGACGGTCCGGACGAACATCCGATATTCCGTAGTTTCCGTCGACCACCGGGCCAGGCCGGACGAACAGGACGCCGTGATTGAAGGGCTGGTGGACCAGGAGGACGGCAAGGTGGTAGTATATTGCAATTCCCGGTCCCGGGTCGAGCGGTTAGCACGAAGCGGGCTCGGCGTATACGAGGCGTTCCATGCGGGTCTGCCCGACAAGAAAAAGGCGGAGGTTTTAGAGGAATTTCGGACCGGGGAGGTCCGGATCGTCGTGGCCACTAGCGCGTTAGGGATGGGGGTCGATATCCCGGACATCCGGCTAATCGTTCACGCCGACGTACCCCGGAATTTAATAGATTTCGCACAGGAGAGCGGACGAGCGGGACGGGACGGGCGGCCTAGTCGATCGATCGTCGTCGGCGATTCCAGCGAGGATACGTTAGTACAGCGGTTTTTACAAGGGGGAGGATGCCGGCGGACCGTACTCGACGAGTATTTGGATGGGCGCCAGGGGCGGCGTCGATGCGAAGGAGAGGAGGCGTGCGATGTATGTCGGCCCCGCCACGGTTCGGCCGATGGCGACCATGCGGTCGACGAGCAAACGCCAGACGATTCGGACGGCACGGAGGATTCCAAGGATTCCGACGAAATAACCATCGATAGATTAGAATCGGGGGAAGTCTAAGGATCGAGAGAGGTCGACGTAGGAAAGGAAGTACGACCCGCAAAAGAACTAGATCCCCCAGACGACCGCGAGACTACGGACGAGGAGTCAACGGACGACGAATCAACGGACGACGAGTCGTCGGAAGAGCCCCATTTAGCGATGCTATTCGATGAGCAGCGGAGAGGGTTGGCGGCGATCCGTCAACGAGCGGTACAGGCACGGCAGGACGAGGCACAGGCGGTGGATCAATTGCAGCAGCGATTGGACGAATGGCAGGGCGTATGTGTGGTATGTCGCGGACACGATCACGTCGTTACGACATGTCCACGGGTGGAAGCGCAGGAGGCACGAGCGGAGATCGACCGGTGTAAGAGTCTCACTGTCGGGAATCTCCAATCGTGAGGCAAACATTGAATTGTTGCTATGAAGGAGGAATCTATCTAAGGTGTGCGAGGCGTTTATCTGTTCTGGTGTTTACAGAGCAAACGGGCCACAGGGCCACAAGGCATCCAGGTCTGCGGACCTCTGATCCATCACACTACCCCCTCCTTCAAAACACGCGAAGTCCACTGAGCGCTCTATCTAATGATACAATGAGGTCGTCGTCCTAATCATCTTTTTCTTCAATCAATTTGGGCGCAAGCTGTGCCCAGAGCTCGTCATTTGTAAAGGCTGGGTGGATGTCCGGCGCGTCCTTGTGTTTCTCGTGATACGCGATAACGAGGTCCCTCGAG